ATTCTGTTTGCCTCCAAGGCTGCTCATCTTAGTTGCTTGCGTGCCACCGTTTCAAAACACTGACCATGTAAAATGAAAAAGAGATGCAGTTCAGAGTTTTAGCTTGGCTGCACTTAAATTTCAATCTTTGTGTATAACCTGGAGTCAATAAAGTAGTCAGCATAAGCCCTGAATCAGATCACAACAGGGTTTCCTTCTTAGTGGCACAATCAGTGACTGCCGGTGCCTTATAGCACTCCGAGCAGGAATACGAGCCCCTCCCTGCTGTTTACCTCACAGTACTCATTTTCTGTGACGTGAAGAAATATGAGGTGCAGCCTGTCAGCCGTAACCACTGGCTGTCAGACTGATTAAGCATTCTGCTGACACTGCTGAGATTGTTTATGCACTTCAGTAAAATCCATGGCTTTATGGCAGCATAAAGATAAAGTGATAGTATCAACACATCTTTTGCGTTCCAATCAAAGAGTTGCATCATGTGAAACTCTTCATATGTTTAAACAGCAAATCTTCACATATGTTCAGTGGCAATAAAAACTAGCTGTGCATACTGTGCAGCTGCCTCACTACTGACTTGATACACATCACCAAAAACTGCCTGATAGCACCTGTAGAGAAGGACAGAAGCATGTTTTTATTAATAAATCTATGATAACAAATGACCATCACACGGCAAGCATCGCTACATGAGTAGAAGATGATTGCAATTGCTCTCATAAATCACAGTGACTTATCTATCCAGCCCCTTTTTGCTACCTTGACAAAAATGTTATTGTGGCCATTTTCTGTGTTATTTCAATACCTGATTCCAATATTAAGAAACTGTTGTGGAACTTGAAGCCACTAAAACCCAGAAGTAACCAAGATCCTGCTGCTTAGTGTGTTCAGAACTGCACATTTACATTTTGCTTCTAATGACTCACAGCCAGATTTTAGAAGTGTAATTCTGATGCTTCTCTGAGGTCATGACGAATCTGTCATTTGTGAAGTGATGGGTGTGTGGAAGATGAAATTTTGTGAGACCAAGAAAGAAACTGCATACATGCTATTTTATTAGAAATATGGAGGACATAATTCTCCATTCTTTATAACTGCTATTAGAATTAGATTCTTCAGCTTAAGTGAAAACAGTGTTTTCCCTGTTTATAAAGACCTACAGGCTCCTCTAAAGTCAGGACGCAACCCCAGAAAAATGTACTTACCATCAATCTGCAGAGTGTGTCCTCAGGTGTAATCAAAAAGAAAAAAGTACAGCTCTTCAAAAAACAAGGAAGGAAGGACAAAAGGACAAACCAGAGCAAGAAAGAAAGATAGCCATCAATCAATGGCAGCAGAAAGCAGTGCAGTCTTCCCCTGCTCTGCTTGCACAGCACAAGCCACCGAGGCATGAGCACCGTGAGTAATGGCCATACTGCCCACTTATATATTGATGTATTTGTGAGGGCAATACAATTACATTTATTCCAAAGGGGATGGTCACTACATCAGGAATGAACTAATATCATGCACCGAGTCTAAACCTGATCCTCACACTAACCCTTCTATGGCTAAATCTAAAAGGTCTTCAGGGTGAGGAACAAACAACTGTAACATCTACCAAGACAGTGTCCTCACTAGTATAAATAAATCTAAAGACAAACACACCATTTCCAAAGGCAGCCAGTCAGAGTCTGACTGGAGCCAAGATGTCAAACAAAGACAACCTGGACATCAATCTCACTCTAAAGTAAGAGATGAAGAGAAGTGTGTGTGTGTGTTATATAAAGTATTCAGGCTAGGCATGCTGTAATGGCTTAACACAGTCAGTCAACCTGTAAGTCTCTCACATCTTCAGCCAACAGTAAGTGTGCAGCTAACCAGCCTGTCACCGCGGTCAGTGACTTGTAGCTCTGACCAGTAAAACAAAAACTCCACATCAAAAATCAGACAAACCATCCATCCATCCATCTTCATCCGCTTTGTCCGGGGCCGGGTCGCGGGGGCAGCAGCCTAAGAAGAGAGGCCCAGACCTCCCTCTCGCCAGCCATCTCCTCCAGCTTATCCGGGGGAACACCAAGGCGTTCCCAGGCCAGCCGAGAGATATAATCTCTCCAGCGTGTCCTGGGTCTGCCCCGGGGCCTCCTCCCGGTGGGACATGCCTGGAACACCTCACCCAGGAGGCGCCCAGGGGGCATCCTTGTCAGATGCCCGAACCACCTCAGCTGTCTCCTTTCGATGTGGAGCAGCAGCTGCTCTACTCTGAGCTCCTCCCGGATGGCCGAACTTCTCACCCTATCTCTAAGGGAGAGGCCAGCCACCCTTCGGAGGAAGCTCATTTCTGCCGCTTGTATCTGCGATCTCGTTCTTTCGGTCACTACCCACAGCTCGTGGCCATAGGTGAGGGTAGGGACGTAGATCGACCGGTAAATTGAGAGCTTCGCTTTTACACTCAGCTCCCTCTTCACCACGACGGACCGGCCAGAAGGGAGCCGGAAATCAGACAAACAACCAACCAAATGACACATGAAAAAATATCTTGAAACACAGTTTTAGAAAATAATCCCTGAAGCAGCAGTGCTTGTCTCTTATCCTGATTTGCAAGTGCTGCAACATTTGGCGTTACATGTGACAGTGTTTCCTAAATTCTGGCTCCACATTAATTTCTTGTAGTTCCTGGAAATTTTCTCTGCTGCCTGCAACATTTTCAACTAACAGAAACAATTACAATACAATATAATGAATGTTTAGCATTATATGCACTTATATACACTTGCATGTCATTGTTTCTCTGTCAGTCAAGAATTTAATTCACATCCTTTTGGGATCTCATATTTGCATTTATTTTGTCTTTTTTTTGCCTTTGGGGATTTTTTTTCTATTTTCATTCATTTTTCTTTCGTTTTTACTCATCTTTTAGATTTAGGCAATAAAAATCACTCTTTCAGATTTACACACTACAAATGAAAAGGTTAGATTTAGTAAAATATTTCAGTTTGGAGTCAAACATGCCTCTGTACACTAACCCTGCATGCTGACAAAATACTGCTTGGGAGTGACAGACCCAAATTAACATAGCATGTTAAAGCAAACTTTGTGCTTGAATCAGTCACCACATCAGCTTTGACAAACAGAATAAACTGACACCTGAATAATCAAACTGTTTGTGTAGTAACTGTCGGTGAGGACAGCAGACGAGTTAGTTCTGCTGGGCTGTGATGAGGATTTGTGTTTGGGACAGACAGGATGCCCAGCAGCTACTGGACGCTTTCTTCTACTTGGAGCCTCATCAACAAAGTGCCACCCCAGGATGGCGACCAATCACAGTCAGAGATCAGATTTAAGCTGTGACAAAAAGACACTTCCTGGGGCCTCGATCACACCTACAAATGGGACAATATACCTGTTAGCATGTACAGCAGGTGTCACCAATGAAAGCATTCACAGGTGAACAGAGACAGTAGAAAGCATGGGATGAGGTGAGCTACTACACCACAGGTGCAGCAGAGTAAAATAACAGCAAACCATCATTTTTCCACACACAGAAATGAAAATGCTGATCTTGTGGTCAGAGAGCATCAACCCTGTGCAAGAGGTTTTGTTCTTTTCTATAATTTTGTTGTTCTATACCTCCATCAGTCTCTCACCAGCTTTGATTAGAGACACACTACACAAACCGATGTAATGAAGACAAATGTGTTTCCTGATACATGATTAATTGAAAATAGCACCAGAGTTATGAGTTTGTGACCTTCATTTTCCAATCTGGAAAACTGTCACTTATTTTTCTGCGTTGCAGATTTATTACTAGAATAGTCCAGGTGGACTGAATGTGAGAGATGAGAGCACAAAGGGATTATTACCTCACTTAGGTTATTAAATTAACATCTCCATGTTGAATCATTCCTTTTGGCTTTCAGATATGGGGCCAGTAGGAAAACACTCTCAGACTCTCACAAGAGTTTGGAAAACAGGAAGCAGACTTCAGTTAATAGACTGCTCTCCTGTGGAACTAACTCCCAAGTTGAGTTTTAAGAACTAAGCACCCTTTCTACTTTTAAGACTAGACTTAAACCTTCCCTTTCTGATAAGCCTCATAGTTAGGGCTAGGGCTGGGCGATATATCGAGTTTTTAAAAAATATCGATATATTTTCATACGAGATATAAGATGTGACAATATCCTTTATATCGATATAGTCTACGTTACGTTATAATTATACTTGTGGAGCCACAAGTTTGCCTCTCTTTCGTCCACTTTTGTCTCTACGCAACGTTACTCGGCCTCGCCTCTCCTTCACTGAACACAACTCCCCCTCCTCCCCCATAGCTTCACCTGCAGGCAGCGACAAGATGGACACGGCAAATCTCCGTTAGCGAGATGTGGGGCTGGACGGCGTCAACGTGTTAGCGAGCTAACCGCGCTAATGAGCTAGCCATGCTAACGAGCTAACCACGCTAACGACTGCACGGCCTAAAATCCTTTCATTTTCTCAAAAGTTGACAGCGCGTCTTATGTATGAATTCTGGTTGTGCTCACTGGCCACGAACCGATTTTAGGTGGTACACGGCGCTCAGCAATCTGTCAAAAAATGTTTTAGTACGACTTTGGTAAGCTACTGAGCTACACCGCTTGATGGATTGTCAGAGAATTACGGCTACCGTAGTCTGGAGCTTCGCGGAGTGATACGTACTGTGCTTCAACGTAATATTACCGTATTGTGTGTGTATAAGGGCCATAAATGGCACCTGTTCAGAGACATGGTTACAAAGAGGATTTCAAACTCCAGGCTGTCAGTCACGCGGTAGAAGTTGGGAACAGAGCAGCTGTGAAATCTGTCTTTGTTATTATGCTCTGTTAGTTTACATTTTGACTGCACAATTATGATCTTTTTGTTATGCACAAAAACAACATTGTTTTCTTTTATTTATGGAGCATGATTATTTAATAAATGCTGATAATTTATTTTTGAGTAATTTCTTCATGTACATCTACGCTGTATGTAAATAAAAGTGCCCGTGTGACATCTGGGACACAGTGTGACTGAGAACTCTCTTTTTGTTCTTAACTTATGGCTTTAAAAAAATATATCGAGATATATATCTTATATCGCCACCCAGCTAAAAAATATCGAGATATGAATTTTGGGTCATATCGCCCAGCCCTAGTTAGGGCTGGATCAGCTGATCCTGAACCGTCCTGTTATGCTGCTGTGAGCCCAGACTGCCAGGGGAACATCTGATAACACCTCTCCTCCTCGCTTTCCATGTAATCATTGCCACTAGTGCATGTTGCTTTCACCCTCGTGTTTACATTTTGCTTCATTCTCTGTGTTCCTGCTAGATTTTACAGGAAGCTTTGTCTGTGGAGCTACATGTTGCTGATCTGTTGTTACTTATCCCACCAACCTGCTCGTTGTTTACAGTTTTCCTGTTTCTGCTCTCTTCTTACCCCAGTGAAACACCCTGTCAGAGGTTTTCAGAGGTATCCTCAGTTGGCTCTTAGGGCCACTGTCCAGCAAGACAGAGTTGCTGCCAACCTCAGTCTCTGGGAACATCTGTCTGCAGGTGCCAGAGTGCTTTGCTTTCCAGCCTTCTACCTGTACTAGAGCCGACAATGATCTGCAGTTTTTGGCTGCAATTTTAACTTCACTGAATGGCGCTACCTCCAGGGGCTATGCAGTCACTGTCATCCTTATGTCCAAGCACCCTGGAGGGGTTCTGCCCCCATTGCTTGCCTCCTGCTTGTCACCACACCGGTCTGTGCTGCCTTCAGGAGCTTCTCCTGAAATGCTCTGCCTGCCAGCAGGTCATCCATTCAAGGTCTCTGGCTCCAGTGGAAATTTAACTTTAGAGGAACCCCACTTTACACTTCTAACACATTTTACCTTCATCCTAACTTTTACAACTATCCCACCTACAGGCTGATTGCCTGAGGTGTCAGGTGTGAACTGACCAAAAAAATGAGCCTCCAATAACAAACAACTGAAGACTTTCCTTCACCTTTGTTTCTACTTAGCTGGCAGCTTGTCTTCCTCTCCTGCTCTCTCCCTCGTTCATTGTGTGTGTGTGCGTGCGTGTGTGCGTATGTGTGTGTGCATGTGTGCGTGCGTGTGCGCGCGTGTGCGTGCGTGCGTGCGTGCGCGCGCGTGTGTGTGTGCGTGCGTGCGTGCGTGCACTTGATTACAAGTCAGGTGTACAGAAAGTCAAGTCGCCAGCTGCTTTTCATCATCATCTGCCATAAATACCTGACACAAACTTCAACGTGCTGCCAGACTTTGTTCTTCAGCCATTTCAGTAAGTTTCACTAAAACCATTTCTCTGCCTGGAGCCTTCCTCACCCTGACCTGTCTCCCTCTTTCATTGGGTACATTTGTACTCTTCCCCCCAGCATTACTCTGTTCCAAACTTTGCCCTGGTCTCCATTCATCTCCAGCTTAACTCCCTCCCTGCCATCTACCCAACTTAGTCAAATTCCGTGCAAACATTTCTTCTTATATCAACGGGAAAATACTGTAGATATGCTCTGACCATCTCTCCTCCTCATGCTGGCCAAAACCCAGGGTATGTCCACATTTGTTTTGTGCAGATTTGATACATCAAGTAGATATCTTCCAAATTTACTGTGTTTTAGTAAAAGCTTTCCAAAGATTGTTACTTTCCTTCCCAGTTGAGCAGGGAACAGTTTCTAGGGAAAGACGAAAGTAATGTGGCACTAAATAGTGTCAAATTTCTGCAGATCAAGAAGCAACTTTCACCTTTTGATATTAACTTTCCATTCATTAGATTTATGCAGCACAAATAAGCCAAATAAGAACCTTAAAATATCAGAACTCTGTTTGTCACTTAATGGGTGAGAAAAAGAAGTATTCAGTCATAAACAATCATATCAGTGATGATTTAAAACATTTTAGATGCAGCTGCTTTATCACAGCTGACACAAACATCAAGCCTCAGTGAACAACATGTACCCTCCTGCCCTAGTGGAGGTAACACACCTCACTCCTCAAGGGGGCAATAAAGAGCTAATCAGTGTTTCCATGACTAAAGCATATCCTGTATATGAACGATCACCTAGAGGTTTTGTCAAAGCGCTCAGCTCTGGTTCCAAACAGGAGGGCTCAGCTTTCGCTGGCTCTTTCTTGCCAGAGCTGTAGATAAACTGTGACAGAGAGAAGATGAGTTTAGGTGGATGCAAACAGATGGAGTGAGAACACACTGCTCCTCGTGCCTGAAAGCAACAGAAATCCTCATGTGGGGGTAGTTCCCCACCTCATAAAGTTTGTGCTGGGAACAACAAAACAGCAACAACCAAGCAACACCATCACTCAGAGGATCCCTGTGCTGTACTGCAGCCTCCACACAAAGCAAATTTATTGACATATCAAGCAGAAGTAATCTCTTTAATCGGCACAGTCGCCTGATGAGGAAGTGGCAGCACACAAAGCCGAATCGTTTATCTCTCCGTTGTGTTGGGCGTTGGGCCCTGAGTTGCTGATGGGTGGAGCCAGGAGTAAAACTGAACAGGGAATAGGGCTGGGACGATAAAGCTGATCATAACGCACGGAATAAAGCACTTAGATGTTGACATTATTACAGTATCCACCACTAATTAGTTACATCCGAGGAAAAACTATTGTCAGAGCGTTGTTCATGCAAATACACTCGGAAACAGCATTCACAGCCAGATTCAGAGATAGTGAGCGTGTGTGCGCGCTATGAGTCCACAGCTGGGCCGGTTCTACACAGGCATATATGAGGGGGCAGACAGAAATGTAAAGGGGGCACACGGTGGCAATGGAGGCGAGAAGGTGTGGGGGTTGGGTGGGGTGCTCTGGATAGGGCTGACTAGTCAACTAGTCACCGATTATTTTTGCGATTAGTCGACTAATCAGATCATCATCCACTGGACGTAAAACGTACAGCTTATTGCACCAGCAGCATCTTATCTTATATAACTATCATTAGCTTACAGCTTGAAGTGTTTCAGGTATGTGCTAACTAACAATAAAGACAAGATGATAGTTTATTAAACTTTCAATGGAATTTGCAGATTCTCTTGGTGCAGTTTAACAAACTCAGCCGTCTGCTCCTTGCTATCTAAAATATAACAGGACACTGGAGTAAATTCTCAAGCATCTCACACTTCTGTTTATAGAGATCGACAGACCACGTGACTTTCGCGCATTGCTTTGTGGGTACGAGTGGCAACAAAATCAAAACACTGCATCAAGCGCTAGTATTTCCAGCACCGGTAATCATTCATTCTGCGGTTTTAATCACTACTTGCATTTTATTTGCCCCAAAAACAGTTATGTACAAAACGACGGAGAACACGGCAGCTCCGTACAAAGACAGACTTGACGAAAAGGCAAAAAAAAGGACGAGGAAAGAATCATTATGTTATGATAAATTACGTATTAACTACAACAGAAGATTTACCTTTGTGGGAATGCTTGGAGCAGACTAACATGTGAGCTGGAGAGTTCTGAGACGTTATATTTGATCTTTGAATGGCTGCAATCCAGGCCATCCGTCGGCTCTTTGTTACTTCGGAAACATGGCTCGAACAATTTCTCTTCCACGACGTAATCCGATAAAAAACGATCTCTTTACCCGTCGGCTTCCCGACTGTCATGCGACCGGCTATTGCGGTTAATAATACAACAGCTTCTTGCCATTTTTTGTGTTTCTTTTTAACGCTGTGTGACTGTTTTCATGTGAAAACCTGCATGTGCTAGTACCGCTTGCCACTCGTTCTCAGAATCCTTTGCGATTTTACACCAGAATGATGTCACATTTTCAATCTCTAGGGCTTTGGAGCGTGATGTCATGCCCCCTCCCGCCATGACAGTAGGCCAAACGAAGCACACGGAAGCGTCAACTATGGTTCGTACGTGCTGTGTTGTCGGTTGCAACATTAGATCACATGATAGGGAAGGCAAGAAGCTGGAAAATGGGCTCACTTTTCATCGTTTCCCCTCCTGGAGGCAACGGGAGCAATCTCATGTATCCGATATTACTATTATTAAGACGTCAGGCTTGGATTGCAGCGGTCAGACTCGGACCGGCACGCACGGCAAGTGCAACAAAAGCAAAAAAGCGCACCCATCGGAGGTAACCCCCGCCCCAAAAACATACAAAACTGCGCTCATTGTACACTAATCTGCACATAACTTTCAGATGAATCACACACCTGGAATTAGGGCTGTGTGATATGACCAAAATCTCATCTCCCGATATAAACATCTATCGTCCGATAACGATATAAATCACAAAAATGTAACATTTTCTGTAAATTCTGTGAATCTCGGGCAGCTCGACTTGCGTGAAGTGTTTCCAGCTGCGCGTCGTGTAGCTGGAGTCGAGTGTTTTAACCGATGCATGAAACGATACATTTTTAGACATAAGTTGTAACGGCGCCGTTTTCTTTGTGAGTTTATTACACGGCGTGCTGCGGGGAAAAGCCTGTTCTAACGTTTGAGTCTAAGGTTTATTTTTTAGCACCTGGCGGCTCTTTTTTACTTCTCATCCGTAAATAATCTGCTCTTTCACGTGATTCAGTTTATTTTGAAAAGTCTCAACAGGATCTTGAGCTTTATTGTGAAAGGTTTATGTGGAACATAAACAAGCGGACACGCGATGTGTTACCGTCGTTGTTGCTAACGACAACGCATAAAAACAGGCGCTTGTCCGTCCGTAGTGTGGTTATATTAAATATAAGAGAAAGAGAGAACTTTAAGACATTAATATAGCCTCTACAGTGACCATCAAAATGATGAAAAAATATTGCCGTAAACAGTTTATTTTGCGACACCACGAAACAAACGATAGCGTAAAATGAAACGATGGACGTTTTTATATCGTCATTTGATATATATCGTTATATTGAACAGCCCTACCTGGAATACTGGTGTACATTTACCTTATGTGTATGCACTAATTTTTATCTTACATGCTTTTATTATGCAGCTGCAGAGTATGAAGGTGTGCCCCATGCAGAAGTAATAGATGAAGATCTGACAGAAAACCAACAACATGTCATGAACCGTAGTTCAGCACACAAGCTGGACCCAGAAGCAGAGACAACACGCCAAGGTGCACGCAAAAGACTTTATTCTAACTAAGGGTGTCCCGAAAGGAAAACACGCCAGGTAACTAGAAAACCAAGGGACCGGGAAATAACTCAGGAACGCCGTAATCAGGACTGTGGGAGGCTGCAACAGAAAGAGGAAGAGGGTTACTGGGGAATGGAGAAATAACAGCATACGTGGGTAGAGAATTAATCTTAAGGTCCAGATGGGGCTTGTTGAATATTCATAAAACTGCTGTGTTGCATGTACAGTTCATTGTAAATACTGGTGGAGTTCATTGTACTTTCTGTAAAGTGGTTTCAATAAAACAGAAATGAAAAGTATGTTTATTTTTTTTTATTCAAGATCTGTTCACATGTACTTAGCAAGTACATGTGCAGGTACACATGAAATGCAAACTATTTACATGGCAACACACAGCTGGCATCAATTGTGAATGGTTCATCTAGAGCAATTTTGGGGGCAGCTGCTGTTATGCTGTTACGATGTTATGTGCAACCTCTGGCTGTATCTTGGTCATATGGTCAACGTACTCACAATGTGGAGGCTTAAAAACGACCAAATCTTGTACCCAACCATTTGTGAATTAGATGTGCGCCTCCAGGAATTTATAATTCCAAAAATGATTCGCCGTGTATGCGCTGACTCCACAGACAAGGTACGAGAAGGCATCAGGGCAGGACAACGGCGGTAGGCTGTCTGGGTTTCTGCTCCACTGCCTTATTTCATACGGGTCCACATTACCGATGCACGCTATTTTTTCCAAGTACCGTCTCTTGGCGTCTGGGCGCAATCGGTCGCGATACAGCCCTTAGTCTTTTGCGCTGATTTTAAGCATGGTTGTGACAGTCCTGCTTCCTACACAGTGTGTTTGTTTTGATTTGTTGCCTTCTGTCATGGCGCTGCAATCCCACAATGTACTGCAGCGTGATGTCAACTCCAAAGCCCTATAGGAGATTATGGTCGTGTCCAAATTCATGGATTGCATCCTCCTGAGGACCCGGCCTTCGCGGTCTACGTGGGCTGGGTCCTCAGAAGGTCGGGTAGGCCGGAAGTAGACGGCTGGGGAAATTGGACGGTCCAGCCTTCAGATCTGCGTCACCACTGTCTCGGTGGCGTTTAATAAACTCAGCCGTCTGCTCCTTGCTATCTAAAATATAACAGGACACTGGCGTAAACTCTCGACTGTCTCACACTTCTGTTTAATCAGTTTTCTGTTTGACATTTATTCAGCTGTGTAAAAACCAAGGAGGAACCCACCCGGGGGATTAATAAAGTTTTATTTTATCTAATCTAATCTAATAACTTTATTCTCAGCCAAACCGATTTACTCACGAACAAACAAAACACTGAACAAAGCCCAACAATAACATTTTTAGGTTGTCTAAGTGACTTATAGATTAGTAAGAGTAATTTTAAAACTTAGAAGTGGCCGCCATTGTTGGAAACTGGAGTTTGGCTGGGCCGCACTATGAATTCTGGGATATGGTAGGCCACGAAGGACACACCCGACCCATCCTTCAAATTTGGGGAAAAGAA